AAGTGTGTCGGTTGCTATGACGAATCATGGATGCTGTTGAGATGGGTGTTGTAGATAGTGAAGAGTAGCGAGAAAACGGGATTAAATAGACATGCTAACTGTGGATGTGTGGACTGTGGACAGTGGCTGTTGATGCTCCTAATGTCTGATGTAGGACACTTTATTATGCAATGTTGGGTTGCAGCAGACTCATAGATGCTACTCCACCGGATCACTCTTCCACAGCACCCGCATCTGAGTTAGTCTAACATTTAATCCACAGTCCACAATCCACAATCCACAGTTTATTTAACTCTGGCCCATCACACACCAAGGGATCATTCTTCACAGTTCACTTGACTTGATTTCGCCTCATTCTAAATCAATACCTATCAACTAATACATGTCATGCCCAGTACTGGTGGATGGCCCAAGGGAAAGTGTATGACTTTCGGTGCATATCTGAATGCCTACCTGCTATGTAACTTACACTATCTTCACAGCCAGTGTAGCACCCCCCTTTCAGTCAGCCCTCGAGGACATGATCAAGGGAAAGTACAATGCATCTGCAGATTGATATGACCCAGAGGATAAGGGGTGATGACAACATGCGGATGGTCAACATGCATGTTAGATGGCACATGGAGGTATTATCAAACGGCCTCATGAGATCCTTTCTGAAGCATTTGGCACCTTGGCCATTCCCGGTGGGTGTGTCAACGGGCAGCCTGTGAACGACAATGATGCTGGAGGAGAGCATGTGGCAGTGGGGCAGAGGGAGAGCGGCAATAGGACCTTGGTTGAAACCTCAATGCGTGACAATGTGTCCATGACTAGGGATATCTGGGGATTGGTACACATGGCCCAGGCACTGAGGATGGAGGCAGAGGTGGTGATGAAGGAGTGCGCACTTTGGGACGACACCGATTCCAGGCTCAAGAATGCCTATGTCAGAAAGAGGATGATGAAAATCCAACTCATGACACACAAGATCATGCTGTCAATCATTTCCATCCTCGAATTCATTGGTCCAGCCTTCGAACGCCAGACTGAAATGGACCGGGCTGAAAGGAGGGACTCGTGTGTGTGGTCTGTAATTAAACTGTGCTGCTCCTCATTGGAGCATGTGGATGAGATCCTCGATCACTCCCTAGACTGGTAGATCGCGTCGGTGCATGTCACAAATGGTATTTAAGAGTATTTGAAACATCAGATCATGAATGCCTAACCCAAAATTGATGCACCGACTATTTGCCTCATTATGGCACATACATGCAGAAGTTGAGGATATCTATTTGTGTCGCTACTCATTGGATGAGGTGGATGAGGTCCTCATGCATTCCATAAACTGGTAGAGCGCTTTGTCCAATATCACAAATGTCATTTAATTAAGAGTGTTTCAAATCTAGCATGAGGAGTACCTATCCCAGCATTGAAGCACCGACTATTCCCCCTCATTATGACATATGTGCGCAGATGCCGAGAGCATTATTGGTACTATGGAATGCACCCTGCCGTTTCATTGCTCTTGTTGTGTGTTGTTCTTGTCAAACACGGTCTTGTATTCACATGCATTGCAGATACTTCATCAAGTGCACTAAGCGTATGACGCTCCAATGTCCACTTCACTAAGTTGCGCAATACTACAATGTCGTGTATAGCCACTGCTAATATTGAAATGCACGGCCAAAGCCTTTGACGTTGGGCTCAACAATCAGTAATCTAGCCAAATCATTAGCTGTATGCGTGATGAGTTTCTGCTCATGTTCGAAAGACACTGAACTATTTGGATGTGATGCAAAGGAGGGTATGCGACACCACAATGCGCAGAACAGCTTGCTATTAACCGAACACATTGAAGGAGGCGACAACATTGATCATAATGAGTCCAGTACTTGGTTGGATTGTGTGTACACAAGTTCTGTGGCAGCCATCGTGGCAAATGCTGACTTCAACATTGAATCTGAGATAGACTTGGATATCGGCTGGGGCACACAGCTTGGATTGAATGTTTGGAGGGCTAGTAGGATGTAAGTGTTGTGCTGCAAGGGACCTGCTAGGTGCACGATTAGATCAAACTTAGCACCTTAAGAAATACACATGCTGGTTGCAAAGGAAACAAACTGCTATTGGTTCACTGTCCACAACGAACAGTTTGGATGGACCAGCGCTTCCCTGATAGGTGCCATGGCCTCAAGAAAGATAAACGGCGCTACCCACACAATGACAATAGAACAATATACCTTTTCTGGATCAGTTCCTCAAGATATCTACTACAGAACAACATTATCCACATGCTAGTAGATCCACAGAAGAATGATCCTGGGAAGTAGCCACAATGGGACAGAATAAATAATGCGCCGGACTTGTCTTACCTGCCTCAACACTTTGAAGCTTCCTTCTACCTTGAACTCCTTCAGGTCATTTCACATTCTCCAGTTACAATGTTCCCATCAAGTCTCAAGAGGGGCAGGACTGACCAAGATCCATTCCATCACCACGTTAGACATAGAAAATACCATGTAAGTAACACCCGCCATCTTCCATTTACAGGTAAACAACTGACCTACTACCAACAGGCCACAGAGGCAGCCAAGGCCGCCAAAGTTAATAAGGTTGAAGACGCTAACAATAATGCCTGGTTGAGGTTGAGTGAAGACCAATGGGGTCTGAACCCTCGTGACATTAGAAAGGCCATGGATTCCACCGACACCTCAAGCTTGAGTGACGACCCATGGGGCCTGAACACCTGTGTCATTAAGAAGAGTTTGGAGAAGGTCTCCACTAGGCTTGGTAAGTGATATCGCTTGGTCTGTAAATATTATTCCTGACATTTTGTGTATAACAGTTGTGCAAGGTCCCCCTCCAAAAGATAGCTTTTGGAGGGCAGGGGAGATACCTCTTGCCGGTGGGAAAATGATGAAGAAGAGAACCTTTGTGATGAAGGATGGTGGCAACACTCATGTCAATATCACCAATAATATGAAGGAACAGGGCAGGCTTCAAGATCTGCAATGCAACAGTAAAAGGTATGATACACCTCAGGGTGTCATCATACTCTATTACAATGGCAATGATGTCCACTCTGATGACAACAATCCATACTCAGATGAAGAGTTCTTCAGCCGTACTTTTTAGGCACCTGTACCTGGCAGAGTGATGTATCACTTCCTATAGTTATAAGTGATTTTGTGTTGTAATACATCAATGTATGATGGACTATATGTTGTGTATGGCCCTAGCATAATTCTTGTCCATGTTGGAGTATAGTACCATGTGCTCCCAGCTATGGGTATGTACTGTAGATGTTAGGACCATCATCCGGAATCATTCAGTAGCATAATTTTGAATTCGCCAAGTTGTGCATGTACGCAGTGGGATGCAATCATTTGTTGTAGCATACATTAACAGGCCTGCCTGCCTCTCCTGCATGTGTATGGTGGTCAGTCACCCTAAGGGTTAATTCTAGTGTGGAGGGACAGCCTCCTTGGAGATGCTGTCATCCTAGGTTGCGCACTCATCCTTGGCCACTGCCTTTGCAGGAGGTATCACCTGCCAGACCGATTTCAACATCACCATTCAGTCATCCATCTCCTGCTGGATGGTCATGTGATCTTTTGAGTTTCAATGCATGACGAGACAGAAGACGTACAGTGAATGGATGATGAACTAAGACGCAACATTGTGTGGATGAATCTTGTTCTTGAAATGTACAACATTGAGTGTTCACTGTCCTTCACTCTGGTTTGGCCATCATATTGCTTGGCAGTGGGAGTGTGTAAGCAACATCCATTATTTGCAGCTGGCTGCGTCCACTGTAGCACAATGTGGACTTGTCTCGATAATTCGCACCCACAATTGAGAAAAGCCTATCGTTTTCTATTCGAGTTGACCATCAAGCGAACTTAATCCTTCAACTCAATATCACCTAACCCTTCACCATTTACAGCTATACACCATGCCACTCGCTGACCATCACCTTGATCGATCTTATGTCCACCTTCCTGGGTACCAAGAACGCATTACAGGTCCCTTTCGTTCCCTAGGCATTTTCTTGGGTAATGGGTCTTATGTGTTAGCTTGGGGAGCTCAAGACCATGGATCTGGATGCCTGCTGTGTATGAAGGATATCGACAGGCGCAAGATGGTGGAGGAGGAATCAGAAGATGTCATTGCAACGGAGCTCAAAGTCTACCAGCACATGGCCTCCTGGGAGAAGGAGTGCAATGGAAAGGCATTCCTCATGCAATTGAAGATGTGTTTTTCAACACATGATAACATCTATTTTGTCATGGTATGTGCTCCCCCTGCCCCAACAGTTTGAGCAACTTGACTTTGCGCATACATTAGGACTTGATGGTTTTTGACCTCTGGAAGCTTATGGCTGATGAGCCTGAATTCAGTTTCGAGAATGCTCCTAGATTGAGTGCTCAGATGGTGAGTGGGCATCGCTGAATACATAGTATGCAATCCCTGACGCAACTGTTTTTTGAAGGCCCTTGGTATCAATGCTCTTCACAGCATGGGCATCATACACCAAGACATAAAGCCAGACAACATTCTGATAGATTCCCACTACAACGTCAAAATCGCAGATTTCGGGGTCTCCCATCTGCACGGGACGCCTTTGGAACCAGGGGAAGGGTATACATTGGTCTATGTGGGATCCCCCATGTATATGGAACCTGAAGTAATGTTTAACGAGGGTGACAAATACAGATGCACAGTAGACTGGTGGTCTTTTGGATGTGTCCTTTACAAGCTCATTTCTCTGGGGCACAAGGCAGGTGTCCTATATTCCTTTATTACAGCACAACTAAAGCTTTTAATCGGAGACTCTTCATCATATTGGATGAGATAGATGCCTATGTCAAGTCGTCCACTTCTGAGGCATTAGGAGGAGGTTGACCCATGCGTGGGTAGCTTAGTGTCGATGGTAATGTTCTATATCACGTTCATTTTCAAACCTGCTCACTTACATGCCATGATAGCTGCTCAAACCCATTGACTGCTTGTGATATGAATTTGAAGGCATCAAGTCACACCCATGGTTCACAATCAATGGCATGTCAGAATTTGACAATGCTGCCTATCGTGGTTAGTGATTTCTGAGTTGTTTCTGAGGAGTGCGCTGAATATTTATTGCAGCCATTCAATGCTTCAAAATCAAGTTCATACATGGAGAAGATCAAGATGAACTTGACAAAGAGCCCCTACATCCTGTGCAGGTGGAGTGGCAGAATTTTTGGCCTGTTTTTGCATGATGGGCAAACATGTAGATATGATACTATAGCATTTATGATAGGCTGGCTAACCACCACAGTTGGCACAACCTCAATCCATATTCCCGAGTTAACCCCAGGCCCCTGACCCTGACGGATGGCAATACGAGTTCCTTCCCATTACACAAATCGTTGTTACTTACTATGTGCCCTCTAACCATCAAAGCAACACAGTCACAACTGAGTACTTACATTTTCATATCCTATATAGGGTGAAACTCCTTGAGCACCAGAACTTCCAGGCAGGCAGCACCTGTTGGAGTGGGTGTACTTAGCAGTTTAAAGGCATGGGGGACAAGTGGGTTTCAATGTTGGCAACAAATGGTGAGAGATATCCATCTCTTGATCTCCTTGAGTAGCAACTCCATGATTCAGGGATTCATGGAGGCATATGCAATACTAAATCCAGGTGGTTTGATAAATATCTGGAGCTCAATGCAGAGGTTGAATATATTTCATGCATCATCTGGAGCTCAACCAAACATTATATGAGTAATTTCATCGATATTGACCAGTCCTGTGTATCAGTTTGTTATTATGCATCTAATTGACAAAGAGATAAATATAATTCATGTACCTGCATTCTGATGTGTTGACTTTTGCAAATTGCTACAAATCATCTTCAGCATAAGTTACACATTTCCACAGGAGTGAGGACATGAAAGCAAGGAGGGACATGGGTCACAAAGCAAGGATGCGAGAGCAAGGGGGCAAATGAGTCACTGTAAGTGACAGAGCATGAGGTAAATGAATCACAATGCAAAGGTGCAAGACCAAGGAGGCAACTGAGTAGGTGTCAGAGCAAACATCTCTGTTTCTCCTATGGGGAGTGAAGACGCAAGAGCAGAGAGGCAAATGAGTTGCAACAAGCGCCAGAGCAAACAGCTCTATTGCTCCCATGGGGAGCGAGGACGCGCAATCAGTAATCTAGCCAGATCATTAGCTGTACGAGTGATGAGTTTCCGCTCATGTTCAAATGACACTGAACTATTCAGATGCGATGTGAAGGAGGGTAAGCGACACCATGATGCGAAGAACAGCTTGGTATCGACCAAATTCATCGAGGGAGGTGAAGACATTGATCACACCGAGACCAGCACTTGGTTGGATTGTGTTGCAAGGGCCCTGCTAGGTGCATGATTAGATCAAACTTAGCACTGGAAGAAATACATTTGCAGGTTGCAAAGGAAACAAACTGTCATTGGTTCGCCATCTGCAACGAATAGTTTGGATGGACTAGCGCTTCCCTGATAAGAGTCATGGCCTCATGCAAGTCTGGGTCATTGCTTCAGTGCTCAAAGTGGGTGGAGAGTCAATTTCACAAGAAGTAGACCGAATGAGCACGTGATTGGGTCGTGGAAGTATGGTAGACTGAACTGGAAGGGAATCCGTGAATGTACAATTTATTTATTGTGCATTCCTCCTAACAATGGGTGCGTAATAGGTTCTAGGCATATCTACTATATATTTGGTGCTATTTTGGTGCTTGATTCACCCGCTGGACTGATCTATATGAAGGATCATAGCTAACCCACCTAGAAACTGAAGTTGGCGCACATTCCTTCAGGAATAGATATAGTACTTACAAAGTGTCAGAGTCATACATTACAGTTGCACTGGACAATGTGCAATGATACATCTTGTTCGCATTTCTTCTGGAATTGATATAATATACAATTGACGTCATATGGTACTTAGTGTCTAATATACAGTATGTGTAATATATCAGAAGTCATCCATCCGTCGGTCATCGCGCAACAGCTTCCCCGGAAAGCCAAACATTGAATGTTTGGGACTAGGTGAAGGGCTGGGAAGGAAGAGAGGAAGCGGAGGAGGAGGTGAAGGAGCGTGCACTGCAGGACCTACTCCTACCACCTCGGCAAGGATTTCAGAGTATAGTGTCCAGCTGGCAGTGTCTTGGAGATGTGGATTTGGGGATCCTTCCTCCTTGCCACTGAGGGCTTTGCCCTTTCGCCCTCTTCACAAAAATTGTTGGGAGGTCCTAAACAATCTAAATGTCAATTGGAGGAAAGCACTTACATAAGTGTCCACCTGTCCCCCTTAATAAGCATCCACCTCCCAATGTGGCCATCCCCCCCTTATGTAAGCGTCCACCTCCCAATGCGGGCCGTGTCCCTTTAGGGCGTGGGAAATTTAGTTAAAAAAAATGAAAGTTGTTGTGCTTGTGAAGGGCAATCTATTCATGGTCTTGCGACATAAATAGGACAAGATGGTGGTGAGATACAAGGCAAACAGGCGAAAAGTGATGGGTTCAAGGAAGTTCAGCCACAACAGTCATGTGACTGTCCCTATGCAGGTGTCCCCCCCCCTATGTAAGTGTCCCCCTCCTAATGCAGGCGTCCCCCTCTATGTAAGCGTCCCCCTCCTAATGCAGGCGTCCCCCCCTATGTAAGCGTCCCCCTTCTAATGCAAGCATCCCCCCGTGTAAGTGTCCCCCTCCTAATGCAGGCGTCCCCCCCCTATGTAAGTGTCCCCCTTCTAGTGCAAGCGTCCCCCCCCATGTAAGTGTCCCCCTTCTAATGCAAGTGTCCCCCCCCCATATAAGTGTCCCCCTCCTAATGCAGGCGTCCCCCCCCCCTATGTAAGTGTCCCCCTCCTAATGCAGGTGTCCCCCCTTATGTAAGTGTCCCCCTCCCAATGCAGACATCCCCCTTATGTAAGGGTCCACCTCCCAATGCGGGCATCCCCCCCTATGTAAATGTTCCCCTCCCAATGTGGGCATCCCCCTTTAGGGCATGGAAACTTTAGTTAAAAAAATGTTTGTAGTGCTTGTGAAGGGCTGTCTGTTCATAGTCTTACAACATAAATGGGACAAGATGGTAGTGAGATACAAGGAAAACAGTTGAAAGTGGTGGGTTCCAGGAAGTTCAGGCACACCAGTCATGTGACCAATGGCTTTGGACTTTTGGTTGACAGTTCACAAGTGTGATTACTGGGGCTAGAAGTTGACGAAGGATAAGGATAGGGATGAGGAATGACTAGGGTCAACCATGGGAAATTGGACAGAAAAAAAACACAACTGATAAGAAAGACAAGGACAAGGACAAGGATAAGGAACGAGAAAGACTACAACAGCCAAAGCGAGGATAAGGAATACGATACAACGCAAGATAAGAAAGACTACAATAGCAAAAGACTAAAGAGATACCCTATGATGATGGCAGGAAAGTCGTGAAGAATGAGATGCAACAAAATGAATGACCATGCAAGCCAAAGGGTCGATTCCCTAATATTGACCGTCCATGTGCTGAATAGGTGCACAGTAAAGCCAGCGCACAAAACAAGCGCGCCATCCAGTAACAGTGTTCTGAGGACGTGATGGTGCTCCTTCCCCATTTGCACTTAGTACTTACTTCCTGGATCACCGATACCCCCAATAACCGCTCAACTAACTGATCCGATGTGTACATATTGATATCCACTCTGACTTATGTTTTCCACCTGTGTTCACTTACAAATTGTATACTTAGTACATAGCCTCATACCAAGGACTACTAGTCACTGCCTCCTACATAGAAGTATATAAAAACACCTCCTGTACATAGCTACTCCCCAGACTTAATATTACTTGTCTTCCCGCTGTCTCTACTAGTGGGAATTCTCCGTAGGACTTTGCTCCCTCTCCAGACACAAGTTTACCTTGTCATCACCTCTGACCCTCCGCTCCAACTTAGAGCCACGCTCTAAGTATTCACTCTCACCTCTCTGACTCCACCAATCAATCCCCTTGCTCCCCTCCGTCCCAATAAACTTCCTGCGCCTCCTCCGCTCCACTCCTAGTCGGATTACCGCTAGCAGCACTTACTTCCCAACCCACCAAGCAGACCAAAGTGGTCCACCCGTCCTATCATCGGACATTGTCGGATCCGCTCCAAATTCAGGGCATGTACTTGGCTAAGGGTGCAGCACAAGAGCTGCAAGTCATTGGATTCAGAAGTCGGGTGTTTCAAGTGGAACTCATGGATGCACGAGCATTGTGATTCTGTCAAGAATAGATTCGGGAAGATATTTTAAACAGTGAGTGGAGTACTGGGAAGTACTTTGTAAGTGGAAGTGGAGTCAAGTCTATCAAAAGGTAAAAAAAACTAAGATCCCATCTATTGCTATCTATATAGGAAGGGGTTCCGAAAAGCACTATGCTACAACCAGGCGAGGCTGTGAGATAAGGATCCGGTTCTGAGTAGCGGAAAGATCTGTATAAGTATCATAACACATGTGAAATGAGATAGCAACATGTCAGCAACACAAGGAACATAGCAAGTACTCACCAGTGAGGATGGAAGGACAGGGACAGGACGGAGGAGGACATTCCGAAGGCTAAAGGGATATGATGTGTGTGATGCGTGGTTGTTCTGCTTGGTTCTGCATTGTTCCACTTAGTTCCATGTAGCGGGCGAGTCAAATAAGAAGTGGATAGGTAGTGGAACACATGGAAAGATACTGGTAAGGCTTGGGAAATATACGGGATACAGGCCTACAGTGGGGATGCTCCCCACACCGTGCTTGTTGAGTTCTTGATGTGGCATGGGGTTCACCAGCTCTGGCTTTACAGCATGCG